AGTTAATTAAATTGATATTGAGTTAAGTATTGATGAAGACTGAGTATTGCGAGTTAGTATTGGTCAATACTTAAATATTCATGATATCAAATAATATTTATAAAATATTTAAAAATATTAAAAAAAAAAAACGTTTTAGAAACGTTAAAAGTAATAGGATAAGTTCTGTTTTTTCTTTTTATTAAAAAAACGTTTTTCTTAACGTTTGGAAGAATGTTTTGTTTTTTAAATATTTAATAAACATTTATTTTAATATTTAAAAAATATTTTTCTAATTGTTAACATTTAACATTTAAAAACTACTGAAAAATATTTTCTAAATGTTAAAATAAACGTTTATTAAATATTAGAAAACAAAACATTTTTTCAAACGTTAAAAAACGTTCTTTTAAAAAAAAGAATTTATTTCATTATTTTTAACATTTTAAAAATGTTTTTTTAAATGTTTTTTTAAGTTGTAATGTTTTGTAATGTCAACACTTAGGTAAACATATTTTATATAAATATTTTATGCATATATTTCTGACTTCTTTTTTATTATATGAAATATTTAAACTATAAATAATTTATTTTTGTAGTTATACTAAATAATATTATAAGAAAATTATAATTACTGCTTCGGCTGCATATGGGATAATAAAAAACGCTTGTATCAGTTGAAGAAATAGCATAGCAGTCAAGATGATAGACTAGGAACCTGGAAGTATCTGAGGTTTCGAGTTCGCGTTCGACTAGTACTGAGTAAATTTTCAGGTGTGAAAATAATGAGAAATTAAATAAAAGAGCTACATTTTATTTAAAATCAATATTAATATGCTGTGAGAGATAGTATATTCTAACAATATTCCACGTATATATTTTTAGTACTCATCAATACTAACAAGGAAATGCCACGACCTGCTAAATCGATTTCTGGACGAGTCAGAAACCGCTAGCTGCGATGTTAAACATCAACATCCTAAGTGGGGTTTGTGCTAATGGGCCTTTGGTTGTGAGAAATTACAGTGTAAAGTTTGGGTTGTGTGACTGTATCACAGATATAGCTAAAGATGCAACTATCTTACACTGAGGCGACATGACTGAGCAGATTGAGGCTCCCACGTCGAACATTTTTGAGTCGACAGCGAGCGTTCGAATCCCGGCGACGAGTTATTCTTGTATGTTGTTTTTTTTTCTTACCTTAGGATATGTAATTAATATTTTTTGAATATGATACATTTGTTATGTCTCGTTTTTATGCTATTAATCAGTGGTAATTAGGGAAATGTCAGGCTTGTTTAACACAAACACGAATATAGACACATATTTTGCATTGCTTACAATGAAATATATATTTAATATATATTAAAAAATTATTATAATAATATATTCGTGTTTGCGTTAAACAAGTCTGACACTTTTCTAATTACCCGTGATTAATAGCATAAAAACGAATCATATGCAAAACAAATGTATCATATTTGAAAAATATGCCTTAAGGCAGGAAAAAAAACACCGCACAAGGATAACTCATCGCCGGGATTCGAACGCTCGCTGCCGGCTCAAAAATATTCGACGTGGGAGTTAGTCTACTCAACCACACCGCCTCGCTAAAAGACAGTCGCATCTTTAGCCATATCTGTGATACATTTCCGCAACCCAAACTTTATACTGTAATTTCTCACAAACAAAGTTTGTACCCATTGGTACAAACCTCAATTAAGATGTTCATGCTTAACATTGCAGCTAGCGAACGTGCAATGTCTCATTCAGAAATTGATTTAGCAGGTTGGCATCTCCTTGTAAGTATTCTCCAAAAAAGTATTGGTCAATTTAATATTAACCAATACTAAATATTGCGCGCTCAATAGTTTTTTTCGTAAGAAATCATCTTAGATATGTATCCTACTGAAAAATTTCTATTGAGATAACAATAGAATTCCCAATTCAATTCTCAGTTAAATTTTCAATTGAATTCTCGAATACGGTTTCCGCAAAAATTCGCATGTAAGATCTCAATTGAGATATTTGTATCTGATGGAAATAATTTATTGAAAATATAGTGAACTTTTGAAATGTGTTTGAAAAGCATTCACAATTTTGACCCAATTTCATTAAAATTTCATTATAATTTCATTAATATTTCGATAATATCCATTAAAAATGTAGAAAAATCATTATTAATTAAAATAGATTGAGAAAAGTATATTGAAGTATTATTTTGTTTAAATAATAAAAAAAACTGGCATTTTATATTTTGTATCGTTTCATTTATTCGTGAGATTTGCGTGGGATTCGATCCCGTGTCACACGGCATCCATTTTTAGATGACTATGCGCTGTTCAATGCCTAACCTCATCGATCGTACGGGAACTGGTGATGACAATGCGCTGTAACGATATCGTGGTGGATTCTATTTACAATATATTCTTATAGCGTTTAAAAATGTAATGACATATTTATCGGTAAATGTTTCACAGGACATAACAACAATCACAATGCGATTAATATTTATACAATGTTGTATAATTAATCAAACTTTAACATACAACGTGCTCGCAAAAGAGAGAGAATATTCCTTCTTTCTTTCTCTTTTGCGAGCACGTTGTATGTTTAAATTTAATTAGTTATACAACATTGTATCAATATTAATCGCATTGTTGTTACGCCCTTTGAAACATTTATCGACAAATATGTTATTACATTTTTGAGTAAGAATATATTGTAAATATAATTTACCACGATATCGTTACATCGCATTGGCATTACTAGTTCTAACGATCGTTGAGATTAAGCATTGAACAGCGCATAGTCATCTAAAGATGAGTGCCGTGTGACACGGGATCGAATCCCACGCGAATCTCACGAATAAATGAAACGACACAAAATATAAAATGCCAGTTTTTTTTTATTATTTAGACAAAATAATACTTTATTATACTTTTCTCAATCTATTTTAATTAATAATGATTTTTCACCGAATTTTTCTACATTTTTAATGAAATATTATCGAATTATTAATGAAATTATAACGAAATTTTAATGAAATTGGGTCAAAATTGTGAATGCTTTTCAAAAGCATTTCAGCAAAAGTTCACTATATTTTCAATAAATTATTTCCATCAGATACAAATATCTCAATTGAGATCTTACATACGAATTTTTGCGGAAACCGCATTCGAGAATTCAATTGAGAATTCAACTGAGAATTGAATTGGGAATTCTATTGTTATCTCAACAGAAATTTTTCAGTAATCATTGAATTCGTCGTAACAAGAGCTACAAACGTAGGTGTCTAAAAATTAGAGTTTTATTAAAAAGAATTGACCTTTATTTTATCTTAGCGCTTTCACCCAAAATGGAATCAATTTCTTTTTATGAAAATGTGTTAAACAATACAACCTCCTTAAAACAACCTAAAAAAACTTGATCTCGATATTTTATTTAGTTTTCGAAATATTCGATCTGTTAACGTTTGAAAGAACAATAGTAAAAAAAGGCCATTTTTTGCCTACTGAGACAAACATGAGAACGTTACCATTCCCTACTAATTTTGACCAGCTAAATACAGTGATGCTATTTGAATTACCCGGAAACATCGGGAACATCTCCTATTTTGAGGTTAAATTATATTTCTTTAGATACTATCTTTACAAGTATTGTCGAACTTGTTGATATTATTGGGGGAAATTATTATCTTAAAATACACAAACCACAAACAAGTACAGAATATTTTTAGTATCAATTAGATGACTGATTTCCGATATCCAAAATGACGGATCCAATGTGATGTTTATCTGAGCGAAAAGTAATCGATTTTGGTAAGAGAAAAAAAATAATATTAAATCTTCCATCTATCTTACATTTTATTAGCTATTAAAAGCTAACTAAATTGAAGATGAATTTATAGTTTTTTTTTTTTTAATGGAACATCCAATATGGCGACTTCTTGAAACAAAATTGAATAATTTTAATTGTGTCATCTTATAAAGTTGCAAAATATGGAAATTTAAAATGTATTTACCTAAAATCTAAAAACCTAATAAAGAATAATAAACATTATCAAAATATAAAATAACTCCAAAATAGAACAATCTCAAATTCAAAACTGTGCTATATTGAATCCTCTATTTTAGATATCGGAAGTCAATCATCTAATTGATACTAAAAATATCCAGCACTTGTTGTTTATGGTTTGTGTATTTGTAGATAGCAATTTCCCTCCAATTGTTTAGTTAAAGCCTCTTAGTTAACACCCTCCACAATATCGATAATACTTTTAACGATATCTCAGGTAGCAAGGTAACGTCTAAAGACATCATTAAGACGTCTATGACGTCTTAATGACATCTTAATGACATCTTTAGACCATCTTGCTACCTGGGATAGAGAGTTATCTGGAGAAATATAACTTTAACCTCAATATGGAAGATGTTCCCGGTGTTTTCGGTTAATTCTAATAGCACCACTGTATTTAACTGATCAAAATTTGTAATGATAACGTTTTTACATTTGTCTCGGTAGGCAAAAAATGGTCTTTTTTTATCATTGTTTTTTAACATCCTGTATATTAAGTATATACATGTATCTTTTAAGCACTTATATTTATCAAAAGTATAAGATTACTACAAACTTGATGCATTACAAATCGCTTAATGTAAAAGTGCTTTGGTACAACTTTATCTTTTTGTGGCAAAATGCAATGTTTCTGGACATAAATTAATTCTTTTAATTCTGTGTTTATTATCTCTTATTAACGTTGATTTATCATGTTATATACATAAAAATTATTCAATGTAATAAGTAGTACTTTTTGTTTAGCCATTACGTCTGCATAATGTAGACGAAAATGTCGCAAATGAGATAGACGATGTCCTCTTAAAAGAATCTGACAAGGAAGAAATTCTTAGAAAGGTATGTTTTACTTATTATTTTTCTAGTCAAATGTTTTAGATATGTATACATTTTGTTTTTTATCCGTGACGTATATATTTTTTTAAGTTTCTGCTGTTGTGAGAAATACATAATTTAAATTAAAACATAAATAATTAAAATTTAAGAATTTATGATAATATAATTTTAATTACATATCAAAATTGGTAATTTATTTTTACTTTTTGATAGATATTTTGGAAAGCACGTACAAGGGCAAAGGAAGAATTGAATGAGCAGCTGATGCATTTCCAACAGAAAAGGACTGCAGGCTTGGCAACGATCTTTGGTCCGACGGATAACTCGCTCGACGAGAGTATATCCGATAAAACACGTGAAACAAAAATTATCGAAACGTATCTCTTGCCAAAAATGGAACCTTACTTGTAAGATCATTTTGTACAGAATTGTCACGATTTTTGTTTTACAAGATACATTTAGATACTTCTATAAAAATTATTGGCATTTACGATAACTTAATATATTTACTGTCCATTAATGATTTCTGTGATAGGTAATATATCGCGTCTGTCATAGATCAAAATAGTTTCGATGATTCTATAATCAATGAATTACATATAGGATATTCTCAAAGACGTAATCCGTATATCATAGAACAGATAATAATTATTAAATACATCTTGTAGTTTAACTATTCATTTTTCGCAGTGTAAGAGAAATGTGATTTAAACGCTATTTTTTCTAATCTGTATACTTGTAGCATAATTAGAGAGATTTTTCGAACTAGTCATGAAATAATTCGAAAACTAGACTCTGAAAATAAGATGTCTCTGTGAAATCAAATAGTGTAATTATATTATATCGATAGAAAGTGAATTTTGTATTTATATATATAAATATGTATTGTATACACACACACACACACACACACACACACACACACACACACACACACACGCGCGCGCGCGCGCGCGCGCACACGCACACACATACACACACACACACAGGGTGAGGAAAAAGTATGGAAACCCTGAAAAATCTAAAAAAATATAAGTTTTACAGAAAAATGTTTCAAATAAAAGTTGTAGGATATAAAAAGGTCTATTCAATAGTCTCATCAATTTGACCCTGGCTGGCGTCGTTAAGGTGAAGTCAAGTCATCTTGAATTTTTTAAATGGAACACCCCATATATTATTACATATTCTTATAGCTTATCTCGAGAGCTTTCCAAAACACTATAATAAAATATTTTTTCGTT